CCCCCCCCCCCCCCCCCCCCCCCCCCCCCCCCTTGGGCCTCGGGTGTGACCACAGACTGAGATCTTGTACATGCCTTTCTTGCCTCCATGACTGCAGAGCCAGGCCCCTCACCCCTCACCCCTAACTGCCTTGTTCATGCTGCAGCAGGTACCACATGGGGTGTGGGATCTGGGACTTGGGGGTGGGGAGAATCTAAGCCTGACCTTAGCACTGGGAATTGAAAGTTTCAAAAACCTGGTTTGGGCTGTGAATGGCAGCTGTACTAACAGCAGGGTCCTTAGGACCATGTTCTGCAGCCCACTGCCCATTGGCATCCTGCTGCCTCTCCCACCCCCACCCCACCCCCGAACCCCGCCAGCTGAGCCTGGGTTTCCACTGAGTGGTCCTCTTTGCTTCACTGGCCCCACCCTGGCTGAGCATCGGGCCACACAGAATGATGATGAAATGATGAGGGATGAGTCACCCCTGAGAGGGGAGGGAATGAGGTTTAGCCTGAGCAGAGATCCAAGGTCTGGATACAGCCAGGGAAACTGAGGCTACAACAGGGAAGGCCCCTCGCCAAAGACTTCAATAGTTGGAACTAGCACCCTGACTCCAAGCACAAGCTTATTTCCTCTTTTTGCTTGTCTGTTTGTTTTGGTTTTTTGAGACAGAAGCTCTCTCTGTAGCTCTGGCTGTCCTGGAACTTGATATGTAGACCAGGCTGGCCCTGAACTCACAGAGATGCTCCTGCCTCCACTCCCTAGTGCTGGAATTAAAGGTGTATGCCACCACGCCTGGCTCTGTTCCTTCTCTATAACTTGATCACAGCCTTAGCTCTTCTTTCTTTTGCAGCTAGGCCGTCATGACAGTTGAGAGAGAGGATGGGGGCTCATCTATATGTCACTGGTGAGGGAAAAGGTTCAGAGAGGAAAGATGACTTGCACAAGGCCACACAAGTTAATATTTCCGGGGCAAGAAGACTTCTGAGAAGCGCAGGCAGGGCTGATCATTCCACAGCCCCAAATCTACCTTGCCACCCTTCTTCTCCCAAAAACGTGTCTCCATGAATAATCAGACACCTTTGGTCTCCACTTGGAGTTGGAGAACATAGACTTGACAACATTGATGGAAGAATGGGGTTTCATAAGGTTCCCCCGCGCCAAGACAGGGTCTCACTATGTAGTTCCTGTCTATCCTGGAACTCACCATACAGACCAAGTTGGCTTTGCTCAGAGATCCGCCTGGCTCTGCCTCCCAAGTGCTGAGACTAAAGGCGTGTACCACCATGCCCAGCTTCATAGGGATATTCTGATCTCTCAAAACCTGCAGAGCTCACTCAGGTGAAGCTGGAGCCCTTGCCCCATTGTAGAGCTGTGTCTGCCTCTCTGGAGACTGAGACCCAAGCCTCATTGTTCTCAATAGAGTTCTGTCCCTGGCTGCCACTGGGAGAAAGGAGTCTGTACCCTAGAGCTGCACTTAGCGAGGCAGGAATCCACAGCCGACCAAGGACTCCCAAGCTGGAGCCAGACCTGAGTGTAGTCCATGGCCAGGGCTCTGGGCCTGGGGCCATGCCATCCCCACAATGCCAGGCTATGAGCTTTCCAGACTCCAGGAAGAGTATACCCTGCTTCTCACAGTCCAGGGGCATGGCTGGTCCTGCACAGTGGCTGTCTCAGTGACAGTGCAGTGGCTGTCCCCTTGTTACTGATATGTGCCTCCTTTGGCCTGGGCCTGAAAACTCCTTCGGGCCAAGAAGGGTTAAGAGCTTCCAGTGGACCCTCCTCCTAGCTGGGCCCAGCCCAGAGAGTGTTCCTCCAAGGCCATTTCCTGCCTCTGGGCCTGGGCCAGGCCCACAGTGACCACCCCCTGGGTCTGGAAGCCACCGAGGCCACATCTGGTTTGGATTACACCAGCACTGGTGACGTTGCCTTTTCCTGTCTGAGTCTAGTGGCCTTGAATTCCTCTGGCCACCTTGAACCCAACCAGGCAGCGGTGGGAAAAGATGCAGCCCTTGCTTGGCCGCCCAGAGGGAACAAGGCCGCCAGGGTTGTTCTGCGAGGTGGGGGGCTGGTTCCTGCCTGTGAGGCCGTTCTGCACCTACTTCTCCCCTCTCCTCAAGAGGAAGCACCTCCTGAACCCCAGCATTGCATTGAGAAAATCCATGTGTTAACCATCCAGCATTTCACAGCTAAGGAAACTGAGGCCCAGGGTTTTCCAGTGAACTTAGGACATGAGTGGGCAGGACGGGTGACGTTTCCTTGGGCCAGTCTCCAGGGAGGGACTCACAGACTCCAGTACCCTAGAGGAAAGGTGAGGGCTCGAAGAAGCTGGAAGAAAACTCAGGCAAGCTCGGGGACAGGAAGGGGTCACCAAGCTGAAGTCTCATCTTTCTAGAAGTGACATTCCAGGCACATGAAGACCAGGGCTTTCTAGGATAGTCGGGAGAGTTGCGGGGAGGGGGCAAAAACAGCATAGAAAGCCTGAAAGCAAGCTCACCTGAGCACATTCCAGAAAGGTTTTTTGTTTTGTATGTTGAAGGCAATAATTTTGGGGGAAATAACCAGGCTGGTCCAAGGCAGTAGGGAGCCACAGAAGAGCTCGGCATAGAGGGAGAGCATGCTGCCAGGCAGGTGAGTAAATGGGAGAGACTGGAGGCAGGGAGAGCAGAGGAGGCTGTATCCAGTGGTTTCGGCAGAGACAGTAGTGATCCAATGAACACATACTTCAAGGTACACAGGGCAGTGATAGACATGGAATCCCAGGTTCAAGTCTACCTACTTGCTCTCATTGAGCCTCAGACTCCTGCCTGTAAAGTGGGCTATTGACAATACCTGCTTCCCAAGGTCAGTGCCAAAGTCACTTGAGATGCCCAGGCAGAGCCTGGTGCAGGCTCCTGAGGATACGTTAGGCTATTTCGGGAGCCCCTGCTGTGTTCCACATATGGTTGCAGTTGCAGGCGATAGCATCGAGTGGACAAAGTCCTTGGTCTCAGGGAGTTTCTAGTGGGCAAAACACACTGACCTTAGCCCACACTGGCTGAGGGAGAAGGGGACAGGGGTCATGGAGTGTTCGTCTGAGGATGCTTGATGGAGGCTGGGAGTGCGGAGAGAGCCCTGTGGATAGGGTGGAGGGCTGTGCAGACAGAAGAAAGGGTGGGCATGAAAGCTGCTTTGAGTCAGTGAAGAGAGAGACCTCAAATGCTTGCCCTTACCCAGAAGCCCTCGATGGCGCCTCCACGTGAGACAGGGAGTCCCCGGGTTCTTTAAGACAACCCACTGGGAAATGACAACCCAGGCCACACAACTAGGTACTATCCACTTGGTAAACATTCACCACATCCCTATGGTGTTTTAGTCACTGAGGTAGAGAAGAGGAAAAGTGGACAGGGGCAAACACAGCCCCGCCCCCAAACCTGTGTTGTCAGGTGAAGATACATAAGTGCAGACCCCACAGCTGTGAACGCCTGACAGTGGGGCCGTGTGAAGGCAGCATGATGCTGCAGGAGAGTTAGCTGGACTCAGGCTTTGGGGGCTCCTTTGGGGTGGTGTTGGCCAATGACATGAACAGTATGTGGAAAGCCACCTTGCGAGGAGGGGGCACTCTGGAGAGCAGGCAGCAGGCACAGAGTCCTGAAAGCAGAGCTGACCGCCAGCAAGGAGGAAGTACCAGCTGCTCTCTGTGTACTTAAGTGACACTGGGCAAACTTGGGATTGGCCCAGAAGACAGTGAGTGACCTGGGGGCATCCCTGGCCTTCCTGGCTGATGGGTGACTAATAGTGCCTCTGTCTGTTTTTAGCCTTGGAGACACTTCCTTCTGCCCACCAACTGTCTCCTTGAGTCACCCACCCAGTTACCAGCAGGGTGGGGACAGAGGATCAGGCACCTCAGAGGAGCCTCCGGGAGCCTGGGGGAGTGTGTGTGTGTGTGTGTGTGTGTGTGTGTGTGTGTGTGTGTACTCAAAGGATGGGGCAGAGAGAACTGGGCAGAGATGGGGGGACCTCCAGTGGGAGATACTTTTTATTCTAATTTCATCTTTATTGACCAAATTTTACATGAGGAAGCAAATGGGACCCCACACGCCAGTACTGGGCATCAAAAGGCAGCACCCCATTTTACAGAGGAAACCGAGGCTCAGATAAGCAAATCCACACAGCAAGAAACTGAGAGGACAGAATTTAAGCTCACAGCATCGTTTAGTCCTTCCTGTACATTCTGTCTACTTCTTCTGCAGCAGCTAGACACTGTCTTGGTGGGGGTTACATCAGCCCCCAGATACAGGGTTATTTCCTTTAACTATCATTTATATTGCAGTTCTGAGTGTCAGGCTCTGCCTTAAGCACTTTGCAAATGCTAGCATATAATATCCTCACAGCAGCCCCATGGGGATGAACACTGCATTTGTACCCTGAAGAAAACAGGGAGAGGAAGTGGCTTTTCCCAGGCCACACAACTAGGACAGCGCTGAGGCAGCCTTGCCTCTGACAGCCTGGGTTATGGGATGATGGGAGCTTGGTCAGAGAAGGGGTGTTGGGCCTGGATTCCTGGGTTCCTACACTCCCAACAGGCCCATGTGCCAGGCCAACACAACCTCCCCCTGCTTTCTCATCATTGTGGCAGCTGCAGGAAGCCGCCCTCTGGGGGAGAGGGTCTCTCACCAGCCAAATGCTGTCTGGGGGTGTGGGAAGGCATGAGCAACTTGTAACTCAGGCAGGGGAATGCCTTCAGCAGGGAAGGAAGCAGTAGGCGGGAGGCCCGCCTGTGATAAGCGCAGTGGAGGAGTCTGTGAGTGAGGTGGGCCCTTGGGGTGTGGTGGGAACCCCATCCATGCCCCTCTGAAGGCAAGTGGGCACTCTGACCTTGGACAGCCAGACCAAATGGCAGCAGGTAGTAACAGTCCAGTAAGGTCACTGCGTTTTTTTGGAACAGGCCCTTCCTGCTTCCTGGAATGTACATAATGTAAGAGGGCCAGCAGACACTGTCAACTGTGCATTCCAAGAATCTGAGCTGCCGTGATTAAGAACTCTGGAATATTTTTAAATCCCGATTCTACCATTTTAGGATTTGATGTGGTCTCAGGACCCATTCTGCTCTAATTTTCTGAAGAGGAGGAAGTGGTCCCTGGCATTGGGACTGGAGACAGATGAGCTTCCACTGAAGGGGTCCCCGGGGTGTCACACCCCACATCCCTGGTCCTAAGAGTTGAATGGGTGGGTTGAGGAGACAACTCTGTTGTGCCTTGCTGTGTGACCTGTGCCACGAGCATCTATATCAAGATGCTTTATCTAGACTGACCTAGATGAGGAGCTCTTACTGGCTCCATACATCTCCCAATAGGGGCAGTCGGGCAAGAGGTATCTGTTGGCCACAGAAAGAATTCGAAGGGAGGATGCCCCATGGGAAGGTCCCACTGAGTACTGAGCAGAGGGTAGCATGAGACCCTGATGTCCAGGCCTCCTGGCCAAGTACTTCGATGGATGGGACTACCTCCATGGATGGGATGTCCCGTGGGCTGTCCCCCAGGCCACGTACTCCCCTGAGACCCAGACCCAGAATCAGATTGCCCACTTTCTACCCCTTGGACAAAGAGTGCAAAACCAAGGCTCAGAGGGATGGACCTGGTCCAAGATTATATTCCAGCTAGGTCTATACCAAGGAAAGGCCTACTTGGAAATATCACCATTTCTTGACAGACAACAAGTCTTGGTGGTTAAGGACAGAGGGAGGTGTGGCTAGAACTGAGTTTGGCTGTTTTTTTTTTTTTTTTGTCCTGCTTCCCAAGGCCCAGGAATGCAAGGCTGCAAGGCCTCAGTCTGGTTGTTCACAGACTCTCTACGAGCTAGCTACTCCCTTGGGTGGAGACTAGTGGTGTGGTGGTATGGGGAGTACCAACTAAAGGAGAAGAGAGGAACCGGGGTCTCATTGTCACCCCAGCATAAGCACTGGAAGGAACAGAGACAAGAGCCTTCCTCATACTGCCTCAGTCTTCTCTTCTGAGACATGGGCACTGGGCTCAGAGGCTGAACATCGTGCTGGCTTCCCATCTTCCTAGGATACAGGCTGAGAAGGGACTTGGGGTCACCAGGGCTCCGAAGGAATGCAAAGCAAGGAACAGTGCCCAACCGTGGCGTCTTTCTCTGACCCAGCTGAGAAAGAATCACCACTGGGGATTGTGTCCTGTCTCTAACTGACTGTGTCACCACAGTCAGCATAACCACACTCACACTTCCCACATGCTGACCCCAGATCACACAAGGGTTCCCTTCCTCTGTGTATCTGTGTCCCTCACCACATAGGACCCTGCTACCTTCACTCCCAACAGCCCACTGTTTTGCTGGTTGGGGTGCAGCAGGCATGGTTGGGAGGGGGAAATGAGGAGGGAGGAGGGAGCAGTCCACTTTCCCCAGCTGGTCAGGCATCCCCCTCCCCCACCGGCTTCCAGTCATGGCAAGCTTGCACCCCTCAGGTCCCCCTCCACCTCAGTTCTGGAGTCTGTGGGAACCAGACAGTTCAGTCAGGCCAGCCAACTCAGCTTCCTCCAAAGCCTCAGGGGACCCATGAAGGGAGGAGGGAGCCACAGAAGCTGAAGTTGGCAGTTAAGCTGCCCAGGAAAGGACTTGGGGAGGAGACCAGGCCACCTGCCTGAGAAAAGGCAGCTACTGGGTACCACCTCATGGGACATAAGGCCTTCTGGACTCTCTGTAGAAGACTAAAATGGGGGCACACCAGCACTATGGCCCCTCTGCCTCAGCCCATACCCATGGTGCAGAAGAGGAGACAAGACTCAGGAAGCCTTTTGCTTCTGTTCCTTGCAGTGCTGGGGCAACAATGAGGTCTCAGGTTCCTGTCTCTTCCTCTGGTGGGTACAATGCAAACCACCATTTCTCATCTTCTACCCAAGAGAATAGTTAGTTCACAGCAAAGCTTGGAACTCAGTTGCCTCTGCATGTGTTTATAAAGGGTCACAGGAGGGTGGTGAGAAGGCGTTAAGTGGTAACGGCCCCTGAGTTTCATCCCTAGGATCCACTTGGTGGAAGGAGAGAATCAACTCCCACAAGTTGCCTCTGTGTGTGTGGGGGAAGGGGAGGGGGCTCTCACACTCACAAATAAATGTAATATGATTTTGGCAAAAAGTCACCAGGAGACCTCAGGGACTCAGGGACCCAGGAGAGGTTCCGTTACTGTGGAGAGTTCAAATAAAGATGGGTGCTGCCTTTAAGACTTGGATTCCCTGTCTGCACAAGGGTGAAGGGTGTCTTCTCTGCCCTGGTGTTCAGAAAGATGCAGCTCCTCCTTCTGGGGCCATCCTATGCTGCCTGGGGTCAGCTCTCCCCCCTCAGTTTGAGTCAGAGCCACACAGACCTGGGTACCCTTTGCTCTCTGCCAGTCCTTTGAACTTTCCCTGGAGCTGGAGTGAGCTTGGGCTCCTACTGTTGTAAATGGGCCTGATAGTCCCTAGAACCCAGGCAAGAGGACAGAAACAAGCCTGGTAGGGTGTGGCAGTAGGCATGATGAGGCTTCATAAAGAGTGTCCAGCTACAATTCAAGGACAGAAAGCAGCCTCTTAGGCTAGCCCAACTTTCCCATACTCTGTGGATCTTGGCTGCACCTCCCCCCTGCCTGCCCTCATGCCCTACTTTCCCTTCCTGGGAAACTCCCCAAGAAAGTCCCCAACAGGAGAAAGTCTCAAGCAGGACCTTTTCAGATGAGTTCCCAACCCCTGCTGTACCCCCAATATCAGAGTGCCCCACATAGAACCCAGAATCCTGGTCCTTAGCCCCAGCTATTCAGAAGACAGACCCTCACCATTACACTGGCTTTATTAGCCCTGAGAACCACAGAGAAAATCCGAGGGCCCCACCTCCCCTCATCCCAAGTTTGTCAGGAGGCCCCGGGACCTGGCTGATGGCTCACTTCGGCCTTCTGGTCCTCACAGTCCTTGGCCTGCCAGGGCTGGGTCCTTGAAGAGTGCCCTAGGTCCCACAGCCAGGGTCTTCAGAGAGTAGTTCACAGAGGCCCTGCGAAGCGACTGCTGCAGTCAATCACTCGAAGAAGAACATTCCTGGTGTCCGGTAAAGGCAAGGAGGTAACGCCAGGGGGTACCCGGAACCTCCCTGGACAGGGAAGTTCCCAGTCACCCAGGGTTCCTTGGAGTCAGCTGGCAAGGGCAATGGGGCCCGGTGAGAGGCGGAAGGAGTCGAGGGTGCAGGGGCGGGTACTGCAGAGGCCAAGAGATGTTCAAGGCCCGAGTCAGTTCCCATACAGAAATTTAACGCTTGCATCCGGCACTGGTAGCTGCTCCCGGCGCCCTCAGGGGCCACTCCAGGTGTGGGGGCCTTGCCAAGACTCTCAGCTTCAGGGAAGGCAGCCGAAAAGCTGAATGCTGGGCACGGGGAGGGCGAGGTGGCTTCAGTGAGCTCCCTTGGACATGCAGACTTGGGCGAGCACATCTCTTTGGATTCAGTGGCCAGCTGGGGCCTGGCGTCACTAGTTGCCGGACATATGCTGGCTGGCAACGACCCCATCAGATCCCCAAAGTTTAGACCCTTGGGGTTTGGCGCCTCTGGTGGGAATGGGCACAGCCTGCCAGTAGTGGTGTTGGGGGCTCCTGGGTCTGGGCTGGCAGCTCTGAGGAGTCTGTGGTCTGCCTTGACAGGGCCCTTGGTGCCCTGGGCACCTGTGCGCTTGGTGAAGCGTCTGCGGCGACGGAGGAAGCTGCCATGCTGGAACATGTCGTGGCAGTCCGGATCCAGGGTCCAGTAGCTGCCCTTGCCTGGCTTGCGGTCGTCGCGGGGCACCTTGACGAAGCACTCATTGAGAGACAGGTTATGGCGGATGCTGTTTTGCCAGCCCGGCCGGTTGTGCCGGTAAAAGGCGAAGCGACCCATGATGTAGCCGTAGATGCCACTGAGGGTGGCCCGCTGCCCCGGTGAACTCTGGATAGCCATGGCGATCAGGGCTATGTAGCTGTAAGGGGGCTTGGTGGGCTCTGCAGAAGGAGCCAAGGATCTTGGCGACGGTTGCTGCTGCATGCTGACTGTGTTGCTGGGACTGCAGAGCCAGGCACGGCATTCAGGGCTGGCGATCTGCACAGGCTGCCCAGGCCGTTAAAAGACCCACTGGTCCAGCCTCCCAGCCTAGAAAGGCAAAAAGAGGTGGGCCCACCACACTGCCCTTCCCTCCTCTCTCACCGCCCTTTTCAAGTCTAAGGAGGCGGGCAAGAGAGGCCAGCAGTGAGCCGCTGCAGGGTGAAGAGGTGGGAGGGCAGAGACATTCCCCCACATTTCCTCTTCTCTATAGTGAAGAACATCCCTTTGCTTTTCCCTGCACAGACACACTCTCCCTTCTTTAAAAATTCAACTAAAAGTCCATGATTCAATTGTTTACATTTATTAATGTGTACTGGTGTGTGTATGTTTCAGAGATAGAGAAAGAGAGAGAGAGAGAGAGAGAGAGAGAGAGAGAGAGAGAGAGAGAGAGAGAGAACCAGACATTCAGAGAGATATAATAAGCATACAGAGAGAGTGCCAGTCACAGTAGAGGGAAAGAATGAAGGAACCTGGAGACAGACAGAAGGACTGCAGAGACACAGGTATGACCAGAGGCGGAGCAGGTGACCAGAAGGGTAAAATCTAAGCAGTGTCCCTGAGGAGTGGGAAAAGCTGCAGGGGCTTCTCCAGTACCCTAGTTCTGGCTTTTCCTCTTCTCTGCCACCTCCTTCCCACACTGTGGAGCCCTTGGGCCACTATTCCAGGCCCTGGTTATTGGTCTGTGGACTCCGGAGAACTGCAAGGACAGTAAGGAGGTTGCTCAACACCGTTCCCCTGGGCCCTGGCGCCCTCTAGTGACTGGTGTCGGGAGGATAGCCTTCTGGGCCGAGCTCTCAACCTCCCATCTCTGAAACGGAACTGCCTCACTGTCCAAGGCCATGGTGAGGATGCAACAGGATCCCTTAGAAGCTGGGGCCCTGGGAGAGCCTAGTACAGAGGAGGGGTTGGACGTCCTGTGAAATCAGACTCCCCCAACCTCATCCTGGAGCTGGGTACAGCAAGGACCAGGACAAAGCCAGCCCTTTCAATGTTTTCTCTGCCTCCCCCACCCTCCCAGTCTGTGGCCACCTCTTGTGGGCCTGGCTAGCTCATGCACCCTGTCCGCACTCACACCTCACACCAAGCCTGCTGCAGAGATCTTCACAGACGAGGGACCGGAGGCCCAGGGAGGTTAGCTAACTAACCTCCCGAGGTTGCACATTTAGTGAATGATAACCCTGGTTTTAAATCAGGTCTTTTGTAACTCCTTAACACCATCACATTTGTGAAGGCCAGGAGTGGGGACAGCCATGGGGCCTCAGCTGGAAACAGGCTGTGAGCTCCAAACACCTAAAGACGACGCTGTTCTGCTCTGTCCCCCATATACAGCACTGTACACTGGAGCACAGCAGGAACTCAATAAACATTCCTGGGACGACTGGGAAAAATGCAGTGTACTTGGGCCCTCTGTTAAATCAGATCATTTTCTCCTCACAGAAGTGACTTATTGGCTGGGGGTAGTTCTGGGGCAGAACATGTACCTCGCATGCACAAGGCCCAGAGTCTGAGTCCTAGTACTAAAAAAGTAGAAAAAGAAGCAGGCTCGCTGATGTGTTATTTAAAGAGATTTATTATGTTGGCATCCATAATCAAAATCCTATAAGCCACCTCCTCGCTCACAAGGCAGGAGGAGGAGGAGGAGGAGGAAGAGGACATGCTGCTTGTTGAAGGGTCCCCTCTGTCCTCAGTAGTTCCCCTGTGCCTATCTGTAAAGATCATCAGGTCATGGGGAGAAGCTGGCCTCTAGTCTTGGATTCTGCTTTAGAGTTGTGTTCATTTATCCAAAGACAGAGTCCCACAGGTACTGGCATTTTAGCTACTGGCGTTCAAAGCCCAGGATTCAGGGCAAGTGTTCTGTTTGGGGAACACCCCCAGTACCCCTGAAATGTAAATGATAGGTGGGACAAAGGGCCTGAAACCCAGAGCACCTGGGAAGTAGGGCTCTTTTGCTGATAGTTGACCCTCCTCTAAACAGTTCTTAGGGTCTAATCACTGGGAAGCAGTGCTTTAAACAAGCCAGAAGAGCTTTGTGTCAGGGTACGGCTGGCTCTAAGGAATGAGTTGTAGTCACGTTGGACCAGTGACAAGTCATTTTGTCCCACATCTGTTTCAAATTCAAGGGGCCTCCAGGTCAAATTCCAGCTGACCCCTATACCCATCTGCCAGTCACTTCCTGCATTCCAAGGCTCTAGCCCCAGAGTAGCAGGGGACTGCTATCTTGGACTTTGCTGTCCAGTGACCTGGGCAGAGCTCTCCACTGGTTCAAGGAGGGCAAGGTTGAGGGTGAAGGCCTCACAACCAGTGGTGGACTGCTTTTAGTAGCTGTGAAGGAGGAAGCAGCTGACTTAGGAGTCATTCTGCTTTGTCAGAAGGTGGGGGATGTGGCTAGGGGGGCTTGTCTGGGCATCTAGTGAGGCCTCAAGGTACAGATGCTTCCAGCGCAGGAGGAGCTGGTGAGCCAAGACTGGCTCCACCTGTGGCAGCATCTGATCATGAGGCAACCCATCCCCCACATTCTGGGTTGGAGTCCTGCTCATTTTTGAGTCACACAGACTGGAGAGTGGTACAGTGTGGAGGCGGGGAGCTGGGAAGAGGGGGAACTAGGTCTAGGGACCATCAGTAAGAGGCCATTTGGATAGGGGTTGGAGAAGAGGGAGTGACTCACAGGAGCCACAATGAGCCTCGCCTCTGGCTGGTCTGCAGGACCTGGGTTCTCCTCACCAAAGCACAGACTGATCTGGTATTCAGGCTTGGTGTGGCTGTCCTACAGGTGGGCCTGCAGCTCTGCGGGCACAGAGACTATGAGAGAGGGGCAAAGAGCTTTGCATCTCACCTGGTGCCTGCTTTGTGCTCACATCCCACACCTAAAGCCCCTGTGTGCCTGTGCCCTGTGCCCACTTCCATGTCCCTATCCCCGCCTACTCCAGGGCCGTCTACGCCATGCTCCAGTGTCTATGTCCCTTGCCCCCTACTCCTATATGACCACTCCATGCCTTTGTGCCCATCTTCTGCCCATTGCTATTCATCAATGCCTGCCATGTGCCCACTGTCCCTAAAGCCTACTTTAAGCATGTGCCCAAGTCCTGTGCTCTTCTCATCTCCAAGGACCAAAGCTGCCCCTGACTACGCCCCCTATAGGCCTAAAAGGAATCTGCCACAAGCCCTAATACCCATGTTCTTTCTCATCTTTGGTGCCTCTGTGTGGTGTCTTGTTTCCCAGCGATGATCACTCCCCTGTGGCCACCATCACAAGTTAGCGCTCTCCATTGTCCAGGCTATTGTGCTTGTGTCACCGGGGCACACTGTGGGCGCTTACCCTGTGTGTGGCAGGTGCACTCGCTCTCCAGGTGGTCTCCACCAGCACGCTGCCTGCACAGATGCTGGGCGAACTCGAGAGCCACCCACAGGAGCACACAGGAGCACTCTGGGCTCCAGATGTCACAGCAGGAGCTGAGGCACTCAGGTGCCCCTTGCAGGCTCCAGGATGAGAATTTGCTAGAAGGTAGCAGGCACCCCCAGCAGCTGTCCCCTGCGCACGGTACGTCCCGCTGTGGAAGAGCTACATGTGCAGCCAGAAGTCTGTGGGGACAGAGACACAGGGGACTGGGGAGCCCTGGCTCAATATCCACAGCGCCAGCACCCCCTTCTTCACCCTCTGGCTCAGCAACATTGATAAATAAGTCTGGCAGTAGGAGTAACAATAGATCCCACTGTAGAAACACCGGTAGTCTGGGGACTCATTTGGTACAGTGCTTCCCTGGTGTGCATGAGGCCCTGGGTTCCATCCCCAGCACCACAGACAAACCAGATGAGGTCTCAACTCTACACAATGATGTACAGGCAACTAAGGAATGCTGACAACCAGAGAAATAGTCTTCCACAGGGAAGAGCACACCAATTAACGATCCAATACCAAATGATAAGCCCTGAAAACATATACATACAAGTATACATTATAGAGACTGAGCAGGTTGTATGTATGTATTTAGTAATATACACACCACCACCACCACCACCACCACCACCACCAACAACAACAACAAGGAAAAAAGAGGCCATGAATTTCAAAGAGAACGAGAGGAGGTGCATGGGACTGGGTCTGGAGAGAGGAAAGGGAAGGAGGAAATGATGTCATTATATTATAATCTTAAAAAATCATTAATAAAATAAATTTACACAAGAACCAGATATGATGGCACACAGTTGCAATCCCAGTACATGGGAGGTGAAAGCAGGAGGATCAGAAGTTCAAGGTCGTCCTCTGCTACACAGCAAGTGCAGGCCAGCTCCTGTCTCAAAACACAAAACAAACAAAAAAACAAAACAAAACCCAATGTCGCGCTAAGGACCTGTGACCTGGGATTCCAGGAGCTCGTTTCAGCAGTGTTTTTGTTTTTTTTAGATTTATTTTTATTTATGTGTATTTGTGAGTGTGTGCCAAATCTGTGCAGGTAACCAAGGAGGTCAGAAGAGCCATCAGATGCCCCAGAAAATTACAGGTGGTTGTGAGCCATGCCAGACATGGGTGTTGAGAACCAAACTCTCACTCTCTGGAAGAGCCAGAGTGCTCTTGGCGACTGAGCCGTCTCTGCAGTCCCCCCAGCAGAGGTTTTAATGGCAGCAGACACAGCAATAAGAGCAACAATTCGGCAGCTCTCTTCTAGTACGAGTGGCATCATGTCTGCCCTGAAGGTTTGGGTTAGGGTCTGGGCTCCTGCCAGGCCCTCAGAACCTGTTCTGCTGCTGCTGCTGCTGGGCAGCTGTGACCCTGTTGGTAATAAGCTGTGTGAGCTCAGGCAAGGATAGGAAGTATCTGATGGCATCGGGGGATAATGCTGTTTCTGTCACACAAAGTGCTTAGGAGGATACCCGGCATCAGTCAGGGCCTCAAACATCAGCCCTGCGGTGTTGGCCTGTTGGCAATGGATGCTTTAACTAAGAGATGCAGGGTAGCTGTTCCTGCCCTCAGGTCCTCTCCAGTTTGGCAGTTGGTCATATGGGAGCACCTTTAGCATCCTTACCAGGGTTTCTGAACTTCTCAAAGGTTGCTGGGCTCCAAGAGTATATGGGGTTCTATGCCTGGTACCCTGGGAGAGAGAGTAAACAGTCAAAAATCACTCCAACCAGGCCCTCCAAATCCCAGATCTATCCTAAAGAGGAAACAGGAGTTGATGCTTACTGTGGTCAGGAAAAGGGCCTGGCATAGGGAGGCTTCTGGCATCCTGCAGACCTCTCTCTCTCTCTCTCTCTCTCTCTCTCTCTCTCTCTCTATCTCTCG